CTTTGGATGCATTTAGCAATGAAGCAAAGCCCCTGAGTTTCAAGGTCTCTAGGACCAAGACCAAGACCCAAGACTTTGGGGACTTGCTACAACCTGTACGGTCGGTACGTGCTTGTGGCGAGGACATTAAAGACACAGATAGCTTTACATACTTTGGTAGTGTATTTCATAACTGTCAGACCAGGAAGTCAGTAGATGGATTGGCCTGGCAGCAGGGGTCATAAACTCTCTCGACAAAAGTATCTGGAGATGCCGGTACCTGTGCAGAAGAACTAAGCTACATGTTTTCAAGGCCCTGATAATGCGAGTTTTATTATATGGTAGTGAAACCTGAATGTTATCCTGTGCCATGGAGTCTCTTCTTGATGCCTTATGTATTAGGCCCTTGCGCCAGATTGTTGGTGGGACTACAAGTCCAACCAACAGTTCCCCCCTGAGACTGGCACAGGACCTGTTATGTGCACAATCCATGATCTCCAACTTAGGCTATACAGCCACTTGCCTTGCTTCCCACAGGCTGATCCTGCCCACCAGGTTGTCTCTCTACGGGCTGAGTCCCTGCCTGGCGGTTTGCCATGAGGGATCATTGTAGGTGGAAACGAAGGATGGATGCGGCTATGCGCCCTCGTCGGCATTAGCTCCCAATGATGATGATGATAATGAAATACACACACACACACCACACATCCCTCCCCCCACACAACACACATATCCCGCCCCACACACACACACACATATCCCCTCCCCCACACACACACACACAAACGCATGCACGCACTTAAAACACACAAAATCCAGAGCCCTGAGAAACGCCGAGAATCTTATAGTGTTAAGGACCACCTCCCTACCCACATTTCTCATTTCTCCCTCCCTTTCCCTCTCCCTCTCCTCATTCTTTTTCTCCCTCCTCTACCCCATGTCTATCTTCTCATTCTCCTTTCTCCCTCCCCTACCCCTCCTGTATTCCTTCCTTTCTCTACCCTTCTCTCCTCCTAAACCTCCCTTATTTTTCTCTCCCAATCAATTGCCTTCGACCTGCCTTCCCTCCATAATGTATCTTTTTAATTTGTCTGCTCTCACTCTTCTTCCCTTCCCTTCCTCATTCTCCCCCTTCCCCTCCCTACCTCGTTCATCTTCCCCAATTTTCCTGCCTCTCTCTACCACTTCCCTCCATTTCCTTAAGCTCCCTCCATTCTCTCCTCCCTGATCTCTACCCCTTTCTCTCCCTACCCCATCCTCCCTCCCATATATATTCATATATATGTACATATGAATCTGTCTTTATATTACAACAACGTTTCTAAAGCTACATGAAACAGTGAAAGTGCTCGGAGTGATATAGCAGGGACACTGAGCCCTTGTGTTTCTCCCTAAATTTTGATCTTATTTTGTTGCTTGAAGATGAAAGGAACAAATGCCAACAAGGTATACATGGGAATGAACTGATTACACTAACAACCAAAAAAACAAGAGCATTATTTCTCTCTTTGTAGATGCATATCTCTGTCCATTTGGATATATATATATATATATATATATATATATATATATATATATATATATAATATAATATATATATATATATATATATATATATATATAATATATATATAATAATATATTATATAATATATATATATATATATATATATATATATATATATATATATATATATATATATATATATATATATATATATATACCAGTCAGTTACTTGCACTCTTTCTCCTTGTCCACTACATTTAGGCAAAGATTTTAAAACCTCATCTAACAATCTAAACACTTTTTTCTTGAATATTTATCAATGTGCTATTGAGTGTAGGGGTAGTTGAAGATGGTGGGATAGGTACAATTATGAGGGTAGTTGCATTTGTTGGGGTAGTCACAATTATTATGGTAGGCACAGATGTTGGGGTAGTTACAGAGGGATCATGACAAAATTTTGCAGATGGCTAACACACCTGTAAACTTCATAATGTATTGTAAATTGTTATGTAAAAAGGAAATATTCAAGGCTGCACATAAAGTTATATCTTTATTTATCACAAAACATAAAATACAATACTTTTTGGAACAAGGCAAATTACAAACAGTACAATGTGATAAACTTGCAAAAGAGCAGTATATGAAATTCTAACTAAAAGAATTAATATCTTAATATCTCCCAAATATAATAAAGCACAATCCTGAATTAAAGATATGTATTTTATATCAAAAGAAATCTATCCCAGCCCAAATAAATAACATGGATGATAGAAAACAGTTTGCAGGAACAGTATTATATACAGGTAATCCTATAAGTTGACATACTGCACTGATATCTGAATTATAATTTCATTAATTTTTATCATCAAATTGTTCTGATATCTGAATTAGAATTTTAATAATTTTAGTTTCAAATTGTTCTAAAGTGACAGATTTTCTTAGAGAAAAGAGCATGTTCCACTTAGTATATAAGGGTAAAATGTATGACACGTTCAAATAATGCCTTTTTTTACTACAATATCCTCATAATTACTAATTCCCATTGTTATTTTTATTTGCTACCATAAATCCTTTTATCCTTCTAATAAGAGTTTAGAAGTTCTTCAAATAAGTACTAATTCCAAGTACTCATTCACAAGGCACAGAATATAAAACTGCACATGTCACAATAATCATAATGCATCAAGTTAAAATTGATTGAAGTCCATATATGAAGTCTAATGTAAAGAAATTTCTGTTTTTGTTTCATTTAATGAAAGTGCCACACCTAGTGTTGATATATTCCTTTTTCTAACATGTCATCAAACTTGTACATGATTCTGCACCTAGATGCACTATATAACCTAATTCATACATGCTCTTACTCATTTTCAAATCTGCTTTAGTATCTACAGTAAATAGATCTCATAAAATAAATAAACATTTAACTCTCTATCTGGTTGTTTCTTGTCATAAGGCACCAGGAAACCAAAGATAATTCAGTCATCAAATACATAATTGTCCAGTGTCTGGGGAGGAGATACAAAAATAGGAAGAATATACAGCAAGGCTACCCAAGATTTATGGCTAATTTGTTAAAATTATGCCAGGCACGACGCAATGAATATTCATGTAAACAGACACATATGCACAGAAATAACTGCATATCTGTCTATCTATCAGATAGATAATTTATCTACTGTATAGATAGATAATCTATCTGTACAGTAGATATGCATGTCTAGACTGATAGATATGCTTTATTTTTGTGTATATGCATGTCTGTGTAATGAATATTCATTGAGTCAGGCCTCGCCCAATTCTTACAAACCAGCCATTAGTGTAGTAAAAGTATTTGTCACATAGCTAAAATTGGTCCACACACTGAATTTTTTTTGTGACAGTTCACTATAAAATATATTTCCATTTCATATCATTCTGTTTCAGTTGTAGCATCTCTACTTTAATGTTTCCAAAGTTGATCAATGCTCAATAAACTGGGCATATAAGAAAAGAATTCCTTTGATTACCTCTTTGCCATGTGTTGGAATTAGATTCTTAAAACTACTGTAGACAGTATTCATAACAATTATGGGTAGAATTTTTTAACAATTATAATTCTCAATATTTTTCTTAAATGCCTTTGGAGTTATCCTTATGCATACAGAATGTCATGTTCCTTAGCTGAGTATAATTTTGCCAGAAAAATAATAAATCAAGCATATGAATAAAAAATTAAGCTTTTTGTCATAGTAATTGAACTGGAGATTAGGGTCTACTTTTATTTTTGTGCATGAGATCAATATTCAGTATGTAAAATGTGTGTGTGTGTGTGTGTGTGTGTGTGTGTGTGTGTGTGTGTGTGTGTGTGTGTGTGTGTGTGTGTGTGTGTGTGTGTGTGTGTGTGTGTGTGTGTGTGTGTGTGTGGTGTGTGTGTGTGTGTGTGTGTGTGTGTGTGTGTGTGTGTGTGTGTGTGTGTGGTAATCACACTGAAAAGTAGTACAGGTCATAGAAAATATAAGAATATATATGAAAGCATAGAAAACTGTACATGAATTTAAGTGAAAGGTGTGTGAACATAAGAAATACAATACTTTTTCCACCCAAAAAATACTTTCTTTATATCTCCAAGCTCTGTATAAACCATATGAATACTTATCAAAGAAGGTAATGGAATGTGGAATCAAGAGGCTACAGCTCTTGACATAGATATCCTTAACAAAAATAACACAGCATAAGGGGAAAATTATGTACGTACATATGCATATATATATATATATATATATATATTATATATATATATATATATATATATATATATATATATATATATATATAATATATATACACACACATTTATATAAATGTGTATATATATATGTATATATACAAATGTATATATACAGCAGAAAAAAATGAGTAAGAAAAGCTAAACAAGACATACAACATCAAAAACAAATAAATGATGCAAACACAACAAAGACTAATGTAAAAGAAAACGGACACCATCTTCTAGTTTGATGATTCACACTGATCACACTACTAAATCTCTTTCATCTGGGATGAAGTTTAGATATTAATAACAATAATCTGCTTTCTTTTCTTTTCCTAGATAGATTAAACATTTAAAGAGAAAATCAACATTATTTCAAAACAAATATTATTAGGAGTCATATATCCCAAGATTTGATTATCAAATAAAGCATACATAACATATATGTAGTGTGTGTGTGCGTGTGCGTGTGCGTGTGCATGTGCGTGTGCTTGTGTGTGCGTGCTTGTGCGTGCATGTGCATGCGTGTAGGTGTGTGTGTAGGTTTGCATGTAGGTGTGTGTGCAGATGTATGTGTGTGTGTGTAGGTGTGTGTGCTGGTGAGTGGTGTGTGTGTGTTGTGTGTGTGTGTGTGTGTGTGTGTGTGTGTGTGTGTGTGTGTGTGTGTGTGGTGTGTGTGTGTGTGTGTGTGTGTGTGTGTGTGTGTGTGTGTGTGTGTGTGTGTGTGTGCGTGTGTAACTATATGTGTAGGTGTGCATTTGAATGTGTGTGAAATTGTGCATGTGTTTGTTTGTCTAGGTGCATGTGCATGTGCGTGTACTATATATTTATATGGACAGATAAACAGATAGACAGAGATACAGATACAGTTAAACAAATAGAAAAGTTAATATAAAAACCCTATGCAGGCATTGGAAGAGGTATTAATGATCATTTGATCTGAGCGAGAATTAACAGGTATTTTAAGCAACGTAAAAAAAAAAAAAAAAAAAAGAAAGAAAAGTAAAGAAAAGAAGAAAGAAAGAAAGAAAAAAAAAAAACATGCCAGAAAGCCAGTAACTGGGCACTCATAGTTTCAAATGTGGCAATTTCTTTCTTTTCTTAAACATTTATAAAAAATGTAGGTGTTCAAGTTTCAATGAACAAGCCTATGGCTGCACATTTGCAAATTTATATACTCTCTTATCTAATCAAAGTTATCATATTTCCACACTATAAATGACATACAAAAGTCTACTCTATTTGCCCACAAGAACATCTAGGAAGGTATCCCATTATCTTTCCATATAAATGATCAAATGCCTTTGAAAGGTTCCAATTATCAATACAATTTTTTCTAGGACACAAAACTGGAACAGTGTTAAAAAAATCTTTTGCATGATCTTACCATTAAAATATTGTGTGAATGACACTCTAATTCCTCTGTGCAATATTTTCCTTATCATATAAGGCTTCCATTGTTTTCTTGGGGGGAGGAATAAAAAAGTAAATGCATTAGATACATCAACTTCCTGAAGAAGTCACACAACAAAGAAGACCAACTCTTCTCTTTGAAGAAGTGAGCTGACACTTCAGGATGAAGCCTCCACATTGATTCTGTAAAGCACTTTCTTTGATCTAACATAGCTGAACTCATTGTCAAATGTCACAACATCTGTTGAAAGAAACACAGAAAAGAAATGAGTGTTAACCAGGTACTCAGGATGGTTATTCTTTTATTACTGTATTTTATTAGAAAAACTCAATAATCAACAAAAATTTATCTACTTACAAGGCATATATTTCATGAAATTAGTTTTAAACCTTATAAGCAGCCACAAATTTGTCCACCTCAATACATTAATATTTATAAAAATTCATTTAAACGAATAATTCAAGTAACTCAAAAGAATGTATTTGTCATCTGACATCTGTACTTACAAGTTCCAGGTTCCATACACACAAGAAAGCCTTCCTCCGTCACTAGCTGTGAGTTGACTCTTTGCAGTGGTACAATCACCTCCTCTTCACCTTTCTTAATCTTGCGAGACACACCAAAGCCTATGTCGAAGTCTTCAGATCTAAACTCCCACCTGAGATAAAAAGAAAGTACATTAACATAATTTCATGTCAATATCCTTCCTCTTAAAGGCTTAATTTCTCTAGATTTTTACAGTGAGTTATAAAAGGCCATGAGCAGTAGTGTACTGATAACTTTACATAGAAATACATAATGCCAAATGTAACTGGTCAGTAATCAATGTAACATCATTCTTACTTCAGCCGTGATCCAGGCTTCTTAACTTCATACTTCAGTCGCTTTTTGCCTCCTTTGCTTAATGTGACGCTGCACAAGTTCTCATCATCATCCAGCTTGGAGAGATTGCTCTTGCTGAGACTTAGATAGTATTTTGTGGGTACTTCACCACCAAGACAGATCTGAAAAGAAAAAGATCAGTTTAATTAGTTCCACTAAACATTCAAATCAAAATAGTTAAAAAACTGAATTTGAAGATTCTGATACCCTCCCCCTAACCATTTACATACAGATTCTTGAAAGGTTGGATCTCTAAATTTCAATCTATATGTATGTAATTCATTGGTAAATGACAGGTATATGAGTTCAGATGGAAAGTTTAATTTTTTTGCAGTTCTTGCTACATCAAAAGCCTGTAATATAAAAGCACTGATATAAGTAGTTCTTGTGCTACTGGCAGCATAGAAGAGCTTGCACAAACAGTGTTGAAGTAGGGTTGGGATGATATACTAATTTGTGATGGACTAATCCCAGGGTTGAAGAAAATATCATAGCTCTCCACAAACAAAAGAGCCATGGTTTTCGCTACATGTCTCATCAATACAAAAACTTACCACCGAAGGGCACTTTGGGTCTCCATCAGGATCGACCCGACTTCCACCCCAATGTTGAGGAAGCTGGTCAGCATTAATGTCTTTCAGGAGCTCCTCTTTCCAGCCACTGTAGCCAAAGATGCGTATTTTCTTGAGAGTGACCTCGTGAAGGAACGGCTTGATCACTGCATACGCCAGTGTGAAGACTTTTGGGGCTGTTGGTAGGAGTTTAGATACTGTTTCATTATCAAGTAATAACTGGAACCTATATTGGTAAGATGTCCTGTGTTTAAAACACTCAAGTCATTACATGCATATGTGGATGTGGATGTGTGTGTGTGTGTGTGTGTGTGTGTGTGTGTGTGTGTGTGTGTGTGTGTGTGTGTGTGTGTGTGTGTGTGTGTGTGTGTGTGTGTGTGTGTGTGTGTGTGTGTGTGTGTAAGTGTGTGTGTGTAAGTGTGTGTGTGTAAGTGTGTGTGTGTAAGTGTGTGTGTGTGTGTGTGTGTGTGTGTGTGTGTGTGTGTGTGTGTGGTGTGTGTGTGTGTGTGTGTGTGTGTGTGTGTGTGTGTGTGTGTGTGTGTGTGTGTGTGGTGTGTGTGTGTGTGTGTGTGTGTGTGTGTGTGTGTGTGTGTGTGTGTGTGTGTGTAAGTGTGTGTGTGTGGTGTGTGTGTGTGTGTGTGTGTGTGTGTGTGTGTGTGTGTGTGTGTGTGTGTGTGTGTGTGTGTGTGTGTGTGTGTGTGTGTGTGTGTGTGTTGTGTGTGTGTGTGTGTGTGTGTGTGTGTGTGTGTGTGTAGGTGTGGGTGTGTGTGTGGGTGTGTGGGTGTGTGTGTGGGTGTGGGTGTGCATGTCCATGTGCATGTGGGTGTGGGTGTGCATGTCCATGTGCATGCATGTGTGCACACACTTTTGCATGTTTCTACATGTGCATTTACCTATGAAGCTGTTGAAAACATATTCAAATATATACACACATAATCTGCTCCTTTAATTAAAATGATTAGTAAATATCATCACAACTTGGAAAATTAATCATGCTTGATCTTTCACTAAAATTCAATCAACATGAAAGGAGTCATTCATTTCTGATATCATTAAGCCTTAATAGCAAATCATTATCACACTACCAGTATCAACATGATCAAATCTCTTGAGAATTACTATCTGTATAACCACACTCACTGACAAGCAATGATCAATACAGTAAATGTCATTAATAATCTTTATCAACAGAATTTACATTTCTGTTGACATCTCTCCTGAAGTCATCATCATTGTAAGGACACTATAATTTTAACACATTAAAAAAATTAATGACACTTTATTTCCACAGTTTTAAACATGATAAGAAAATTATATAACTAAAAGCAGCAGACACAATGACAATCATCACCTATAACCCCTCCTATCTCCCTATCCTCTCCCTTACTCTCACTTTTTGCTCTCCTTCTCCTTCTTGCTCTCCCCTTGTTTCTCCCTTTCTCTCCACTTCTTCTCCCTCTCCTATCCTCTTTCCTTTTCCCTACCCTTATCCTGTTCCCTTTCCCTCTTTGTCTCCCTCTCTTTCCCTATCTCCATATATCTCCCTAAGTCCCTCTCCTTCTCTATCCCTCCCTGAACTTTTCCCTCTCCCTACCCCCTCCCTTTCTCTCACTCCATCTCCCTCTTCTCCCTATTTATCTGTCTCCCTCCCTCCATATCTCTTGTTTCTTATCCCTATCCCTCCCCCTCCCCCTCTCCCTCTCCCCATCTTCAGCTTCTGATCCCTCTACTACTCCCTCTGCTTCATGTTCATCTTTACCCTCATTTTCCCCTTCACCCTCTCCATCATTTTCCCTTCCTCCCTTTCTCTGTACCTCCCTTTCTCTCTTCCTTCCTCCCTTTCTCCATCTTTCACATTCTCCCTTCCTCCCTTTCTCCCTCTCTCCATTCCTCCCTTTCCCTAACCCTTTTACACTACTAAAACTTACCATTGATGACATAGGCACACTTGAGCAGCTCTGGGTAGTTTGCCTCGTAAAGTTGCACCAGCTGTAGGATGACGTCCATTGCTGTTGAGAGTGTAATAAACCTTGTAAATATTGTATCAAATGAGCTATGAATAATGAAAAAAGTTGATGAAATTCAGATTGATCCTTGTAAATTTTGCAGAAAAAAGCTATGAATAAAAATAAAGTTGATGAAGGCAGAATAATCATTGCAAATATTACACAAAAAAAGCTATGAAAAAAAGTTGATGCATATAGAATAATCCTTGAAAATATTACATCAAAAGAGAGATGAATAAAAAAAAAGTTGATGAATGTCGAGATAGTTGATATTTATAGGATTCCTCTCACTATTATCATTAAGTCAGCATAAAGAGAAGGTTGCAAAAGAATCAAAATTGTTATAACACTTATTGTTATTTCTTCAAAGCTGAGAGATAGATAGAGAGGGTTATGATGAAATGGAATAATGTTTCATCACTCCTTTCTTATTTGTCTTTAACATGTGAGTGTTCCTGTTAATTTTTTTGTTTCTTTCATTATTAAGAACTGTTTAAGTTCTTTTACTTTCCTGTACTTCACATGCACACACATACACACAAACTCTCAGTCTCAATCTCAGTCTCACTCTCTCTCTCTCTCTCTCTCTCTCTCTCTCTCTCTCTCTCTCTCTCTCTCTCTCTCTCTCTCTCTCTCTCTCTCTCTCTCTCTCTCTCACTCACTCACTCACTCACTCACTCACTCACTCACTCACTCACTCACTCACTCACTCACTCACTCACTCACTCACTCAGTCACTCACTCACTCACTCACTCACTCACTCACTCACTCACTTCACTCACTCACTCACTCACTCACTCACTCACTCACTCACTCACTCACCCCCACACACACTCACCCTCCCCCACACACGCTCACCCCCCCCCCACACACGCTCACTCACCCCC